AGAGAGAGAGAAACACTAATGTGAAAGAGAAACCTCGAACCTGCCACCTTTTGTTCTATGGGTCAATGCTGCAACCGAGTCACACTGGCCAGGGTACTCCCTGCAATTATTGAGCATATTTATATGCCAGGTACTCAGCTGGCCACTTTTTGAGGATTTTCTTATGCGATCATCACAGCAGCTCTGACTTAGTACTATTACTATTCCCATTTTACAAGTGAGGAGGAAACTGAGATTTCGAGGTAGTAGGTGATTTGTCTAAGATGCCAAAGCCAGGAGGAGGGGAGACTGGGATTTGAAGGCAAGCATTCTGATTTCAGAGCCCATAAACCACTTTATTGCCTGATATTTAAATTATATCTGTGTTTGTTATCTTAGTCTTGAAAAGGAGTTACGCCTAACAGTTTCTCCCTGACCCAAGGTTAATCATTCTTTCTGTTTTCTCCCAGCAATCAACAGAGTCATACGGATTGTACAAGTGGGGACACTAACTTCTGGGTGGAGCATTAAAACAACTGGTACGTAAGTAAGTGTTGACTCTTCCAGTATGCGCTGTGTCGTCTTAAACTGTCCAAGTGAAGCATGGGGGTTAGATATGCAGGTCAGCCTACAGTGCCTTTTATGAAAAGAACTTGATCCCAGTAGAGTGAAAATGGGTATCATTTCAGTTCCACTTGATTCAGTTGTTCTTTCATTTTCTTCATAAAAGAAAAACTCTCTCTCCCAACCTCACTGCCTTTAAAAGTGAATAAAACGATTGTATGTCTAAAATTAGTTAGCTTTCCTAGTTGAGGTTGACTTTCAATGCCAACTCAATAAAGAAGTTATTGTGAAGGATGTACTCAGTTTAGCTAAGCTTCCTGAAAAATTCTGTTAGTTTCCTAAATGAATGTCTCTCAAATATCCCTCATCTCCATTCTTACTCTCATGCCTAAGGCCCTTCCATCTTTGACTTCAGTTGTGACAACATTCTCCCAAACTTCTACCAGATGATATTTATAAAAACAAAGATTCAGTGATGTCACTCCCTCCTAAAAACCTTTTTATTTGCTCCCAGCTGGCAATGGAGTAAAATCCAAATGCTTAAGCATGACATTCAAAGGATTCATTACCAGAACATTCCCCTTTTCTGTTGTCTCTTTTCCAGCCAAACCAAAAAATTTCCATTCTTCCTGATAATGCCAAGGAATATTGTCATTTGTTTTAAAGTCTGGCATTAAGCAATAAATGACACGGGAGCTACAGATAGGCAAGATACTTCACTATTAAAGGGTAGGCTATGCCCAGGGTTAGGGTTAGGGATAGAGGGTGCAATTTACAGTCACTGTTCTCTACCTCTTACTAACCAGCAGTTGCTGTCAGTATCATACCTGACCTTCGGTTTACATTTAAACCTCCTTTGCTTCCTTGGGTCAATAATCAGGGCATCTTTATAAAACACTGCTATGCTTTAACACCTTCCAAGCAGAGATTGTTTATCCAAAGGGCAGCAAAATATTCTACTGGAGCCACACATCTTGAGTACAATCTTGGGTGTGGTATACAGTTTTTATTTGATAGTTAGTGGAAAATACTGAAAAATGCCCCCAAAATAACCTTTTCAAAAAATCTTTCCTAAGAAGAAAGACAGCCCTTAAAAGATTGTTTGCTTACCATATGCTTGCTGGGTCATGGATCTGTGGTTTTCACCAGAGTTTCTCTCTCATGTCAACTGATTCATTCAACTCATTCCTGTCATCAATCAGAAGCAAAATACATGCTCCCCCAGGGGACCTCATGGTTTTCACAGGAAACACATTCAGCTCTTGAGTGTTGTTTTTTTACCTGGGTGTCTGGGGAACCCTACACAGGCAATCCACATAGACAAAGGTCAATCACATTGAATCCTTCTCTGTTTAAAGTAGATTACAGCTTAAATTTTCCTAAGATTCTGTTAGGTATACATTTTAGCAATGGTTCCCTGGAAACCTATCTGACTCAACATTATGGAACTAAATTAAACCTCTCTGCACTCACCAAATGTGCTGCCAGAAGGCATCTTTGTATTCGTCAAGGTAGATAAACAAAATGTTTCCCTCTGAAGCCAAGCCTCGTTTAAAGCCACATTGAAAAGCTTAATGATACACATTTCTACCAGATGTCCTTTCCCCAAGTCATCTGGATTTCTTCGACTATTTATCACTTTCTGCCAGAACTCTTGCACTGAAATCTATTTACTAAGAAGAGGGTTTCAGCTTTACCATTGATTAAATCAGAATGCATCAGAAACCAATTTGTTGAATTCAACAAACACTTCTGTGCTCCACAACTAGACATTGGCTACTTGAGCATCTGGGAAAATGTTACCCAGGAAGGTGATAACTTGGGTCCTCACCGCAGCTGAATCCCTGCAGTAAATATGCCTCTTCGCGTTCTTTGGAAGCCAAAACCACAGACTTCAGGGATGCTTCTCTGAACTCCACTCTGTACCAAGCATTTCTCACACATTCCTAACAGACTTGGGGTGGATCTGCGTATACTCATGTCCACAACGCAGTCTGCCACTTACTTAAGTGGCCGCTCAAAAGATGTTATGATTATGTAGATCTTTATTAACTTTTATTTCAGTGAGAATTATTTATTTGCCTTTCAGCAGCTCATATGGTTTAAGACAAATACAGTAGCTATTTCCCCTTTTCAGTCAAGTCCAAAGGCTTCATTCTGGCATTGTTACTGTGCTCCTCCAAGTACTTCCAAATTGATAACACTGTGCGGCATCTCAATGGAAAGCCACTGCTAGCCAACGCGGTTTGACTCTGCCTGCTTAATAAATGACAATGCTTCCTTCAAATCTGGATTTCAAGAGCTATTTTGGCCTGCTATTCATCTTCGTTTCTAGTTACTGGCCAACAAGGCTCCTTTCCATTGCCCAGAAATCCCTCCAGTTCCACCCGAGTCTGTATTAACATCCCCCATCACGTCTCTGGAACACGTGTATGTGCCACGTGGTTAAACTAAGGACGATTTCCCCCATATTTTCCTTCTGTACCTCTTTTTGCCCTTTCTCTCTTATCTCACCAAAAATGAGCAGATAAGTACACAGCAGAATATCAGTTTTTAAAAGTTTAAGAACATCTCTTTAAGTTTAGGCCCTTAAGTTTAAATTGGCAGAAATGCACAAGGTAGTAAGCTTTCTTTGTAGAACACATTTTTACTTTGAGGTTGCAGATGTTATTTTGAGATTGCATTTTCATGCACCTCACTTACACTCTCATATGTGTACAGGGTTTTTTTAATCCTCACCTGAGGATATTTTTATTGATTTTAGAGAAAGAGGAAAGGGGAGAGAGAGAGAGAAACATTGGTTTGTTGTCCCACTTATTTTTGCATTCATTGGTTGATTCTTGTATGTACCCTGGTGTTTTGGGACGATGCTCTAACAAACTGAGCTTCCCAGCCAGGATTATTTCTGTTTTAATGTATAGTTTCCCCCTTTACTATTGAAAAGCTCAACATTTTTAAGAATTTGCCTGCCCCAAGGGTCACAAACTTGCAGCTGGGCTGAATATGGCTCACAGCTATTTTGTTTAAAACAGTAATTTAGAATTTGGAAACTTTTCACATTAAAAATATAAATATCCAGCCATTCTTCAAAAACTCTGGCAACACTAAGTGCGTGTTTCCCAAATGGAAACAGTTGGCTAGACCTGAGTAGCTGCTGTTCACTGAACGCAAGTCCACTGTTCTTTGGTTCACCCAAATCCCATAGTCTCCCCGACCTGGACTGTTGCACCCATTAAAGCCACCTGCTCCTGGGGACATTTAAATGATGAAATAAAGGGCAGAGGATGTTAATTCTGCCAATACAGTATATATAGGTCTAGTATCATCACAACTCAAGACCTGCTCCTCTTTTTTTTATAAAGCAGGAGTCCTACCAGCCCACCAGAGTCATTGCAAAAACTCCCATACTCAGTCTCTGTGGTTAAAAAACATGTTCCTTAAATGCACTGGCTGTTTCCTCTGCCCTAAAAACTTGCCCCAAAATATCCATGACTGGCTCCCACACATCCTTCAAGCCTTTGGAGTTGTCATCCTCTCAACGAGTCCTTCTCTAACCACCTTATTGAAAGTTAAAACCACCTCACCCATTCCCTTTATCTTGTTCTCTTTCCCCCATTTTCTACAGCACTTACCATGTTTTAACATGCTATGTAATTTGCTTTTTTATTGTTTATTTTTTACTATAGATCTCTTCCCACTAGATTATAAAATCTAAAAGGGAAGACATAGTTGTCTGATAAGGATCCCCATCAGCTGGAATAGTGCCTGAGAAATGTGGGCACTTACTAAATATATTCTGAATGAATGAGTGACCAGGATTCGGGAATGGCAGTTGCCCCCTCTGGGTTAATGTTATGGGTTGAATTGTGCCCCCCTTCCCCCCAAGAGCTGTTGAAGTCTTAAACCCCAGTACCCCATAATGTGACTATACTTGGAAATAAGGTCTTTGCAGGGGTCACCCAAGTTAAAACGATGTCAGTTGGGTGGGTCCTAATCTAATATGACTGGTGTTTCTATAAATAGGAGACATTTGGACAAAGACAGATTACTCACATAGGGAAAACACCACTTGAAGATGAACGCAGATATGAGAGCGATGCGTATACAAGCCAAGGAGTGCTGAAGTTTGCCAAGAAAACACCAGAATCTAGGCAAGAGGCAGGGAACAGATTATTCCTCACAGACCTTGGAAGGAAACACTTCTGCCTAGCCTGGATTTCAAATTTCTACAGACTTTGAAACAATGAATTTCTGGTTATTTTAAACCACCCAGTTTAGGGTACTCTGTTGCAGCAGCCTAGGAAACAAATATGGTTAGTCTCTAGATATTTGGGTAAGTCTAAATGAGGTTTGGAAACTTAATTAGATCTGGAGGTGCCTGTAAACTGTAAAACAATATACAAACAAGGTATAGTAATTAACCAAGCATATGCCCTCAAGGGTTAACTGTGTCTGCCCCAAAGACTGGGTAGGACAGGTGCTAAATTCTGCCATCTTGCCACTACTTTTTACCACCACCTCCACACAAAAACATCTGCTCTAAGTCATAGGGGAATTCATAGTTTTTATTTTCCTTGAACCATTTGGCTGGGCAGCATTTAACTTCTCTTGAAGATCTTTCTCCAAGGCTGAACTGATCTTTGCACCTAATCTATTCGTCTGCTTTCCAGAAGATTAGGAACCTCTCTGGTACCGTTTTCTGTTTGAAGAGATTCTGTTTAGATAGATCACTCATCTTCAAGGTACCTCCTCTCATCCCAAAAGAATTGGGAAGAGGGGTGGTGGTGTCCTTCATCAGGCCCTGTGATCATTTGGGCTCAGCAGGGTGGGTAATGACATTGGAAGTGGGAGGCTCCTGACTTTTGGTGAGGATAGTGGTTGTGTGCAGTTAGGGGTCTTCCATGGGCTTTTCCATGCTCGGGGAATTAGGTTTCTTCTACTCACTGCTTCAGGTTTGATAAGGTGATTCAGTCAACCACCTGGGCCATTTGGCTGCAGAATTGCTAATAGCCTAAAAATGCAGGTCATAGGCACCAGGAAGGTAAGGGTGTCCTAGTAGTAAACAGGCAGAAAACCAAAACAGGGAGTTGAGACTAGGCTGGAAAGGATTTGACACGGGAGGGCCAGCCGTCGGGAGCAGAGAGAGCTGACTAAGATCCCAGGCCTGAAAAAATAGGACAGCAAGAAAGAAGCCAATTCTTGCTCACTGGAGTAGGACACGTGAGGGAAAGAACTTGGTGTCAAGGAACAAGCCAAGATCCTGGGGATACAGCTGTGGGTCAAGGTCAGAGAGATTCTGGCAATAACATTGACTTAGGGATGAACTCACAAACTCTCACTTGAAACTTTAAAATTACATATGTTCTGAACAGGATTCATAAGAGAGCTAATTATGTATTAAGCACATATTAAGCACCTGTGATATGTTAAGACTTTTATTAGGCAATGTGGGGTACAGAGAGGACATTGTTTTCAAGAAGTTCAGTTTGGTAGGGCAGAAATTAAAGATAAAGCGATGATAATTTAGTATATTAAATACAGTAAGAGTATTACAGAGAAGGGAATGTCACAGTGGTTAATAGCTCAGGCTCTGGGTCCAACAGATCTGAGTTTAGATCCTGACTCTCCAGTTATAGGTTGCATGATCCTGGGCAAGTAACTAAACTTCTCTAAGCTTTAGTATCCTTCCTTGTAAATGCAAAGAATAATAGTACCTACCTACTTGATAAGATTCTTTTGATGATCAAATTAAATCAGACATGCCTGGTACCTAGTGAATTCTCAGTAACATTGACTATTATTTATAATAAAAGTTATTATTATAGTTATCTGGGGGAAGCTAATATCAGAAATGTTTCCCAAAAAAGGTGACATTTGAGCTGAATATTGAAAAATAAAGAGAAGTTGAATGGGGTTGAATGGGTTTGGTTTGGGAAGACACTAGTGAATTGCATATGTTTTTTAATTATGCCCTGCCAAGTTTCTCAAATGATTTTAGGTAGGATGATGAATTCAGTATTCATCAATTGAGAGTGAGATGCTGGTAGGCAAGCAACACAAGATGTTTTCACTCTTCATTTATAACCCTGCTGTAATCCCAAATCTTACATATTTGACCCATTAATGATTGTAGCTCAATGAAATGAATTCAACTATTAATCATTTTTCGACTTGATTTTGAATACTAATAGAAATAACACAAAACAAAATTGGTAGCGCCAAAATTGTACCCAGTAAACTTTGTTTTGATTGAAATATTTACATTTAAGTCTTAACCCAGGGAAACTGGCCTTAATAAGAGAAAAAAAAACTTACTTTGGGCAAAATTATAATAGCTCAAATTTGGTATGGACAAAAATAAAATAAAACCAATTAATAAATCTTTGTTGTAAATGTAGAAAAGAATGAATTCAAATTAAATCAAAAGAATATCAGTAAAATTAAAATTTAAATAAAGCTTACCTGTAGTCTATAGGCAATTAATGGAGAAATCAAACGGCCAGAGTCAAGTTTACTCTAAAAGATACCTTTTGGTTGAAAAGCCTTCCATATTGATGAAATACTGATGAACATGTTTGCATTCACAAACATAAGATCAAAAATCCATGGGTGCAATATAGTAGGTAAAAAATCTCCAGTGCTTGCTCATGACACCCAGGTGGATGAGTCGAGGAAGCAGTTGGAACCCTGTCTAGAGCTTAAGAAGTCGTGGTACAAATAGAGATTTTGAAGTCATCACCACATAAGTATTGATCTGTTCTCGCTCTCTTTTTTTTTTTACCTTCCATAAAATAATGCCTAGGAAGAATCTAATAAATGCCTTTTGAGTGTCAGCCCCACAAACATTAAGAACAGAGGAACTGCACCTGTAGAATCATCCATTTTAATTTAGCGCTTACTGGATACTTTATCAAAATGAACTCTCACAGCTTTGAGAATAATCAGTATGAAGCTGAGGTCCACCAAGACTTGGACACCTAGAGCATAATCACAAGTACTACGAAGAAATATACTATTTCCAGTTCATAAGGTGAACTCTTTTTACCCTTATATTCCTATTCACTGTGTAGTTCTTCTTTTAAAACTTGTTTTGTTCTTTTAAATTTACTTCTCCACTTCTCAAGGTCATGGAAGATCTGGCGGAAACATTATTCGAGGACTTTGAGAACTACTCCTATTTGGAATATTCCTCCCCAGAGTCTGATCTGGAAGAGCAAGTCCCCCTGGGACTCGTTCACTGGGTCTCTCTGGCGTTATACTGTTTAGCATTTGTTCTGGGCATCCCAGGAAATGCCATTGTCATTTGGCTCACGGGTTTCAAGTGGAAGAAGACAGTCACCACTCTCTGGTTCCTCAACCTGGCCCTTGCGGATTTCATTTTTCTTCTCTTCCTGCCCCTGTACATCTCCTATATGGCCATGAACTTCCACTGGCCCTTCGGCGTGTGGCTGTGCAAGGCCAATTCCTTCATTGCGCAGCTGAACATGTTTGCCAGCGTTTTCTTCCTCACGGTGATCAGCCTGGACCGCTACATCCAGTTGCTCCACCCGGCCGTGGCCCATCGGCACCGAACGCTGAGGAACTCCCGGGGGGTCACCGGACTCATTTGGCTCTTGGCCTCCCTCGTCGGTGGCCCTTCCCTGTACTTCCGGGACACTGTGGAGGTCAACAACCACATTGTCTGCTATCACAACTTCCACGAGCACGACCCCGACCTCACTTTGATGAGGCACCGTGTTCTGACCTGGGTGAAATTTATCCTTGGGTACCTCTCCCCTCTACTGACAATGAGCTTTTGCTATTTGTGTCTCATCTTAAAGGCGAAGAAGCTCAACATCCTGGTGTCTAACAGGTATTCCTTGACCATCCTGGCTGTGGTCCTGGCCTTTCTGATTTGCTGGACCCCTTATCACCTGTTCAGCATTTGGGAGCTCTCCATTCACCAGAGTAGCTATTCCCACTGGGTGCTGCGGGCCGGCATCCCCCTCTCCACTGCTTTGGCATTCCTCAATAGCTGCCTGAATCCCATCCTTTATGTCCTAATTAGTAAGAAGTTCCAAGTGCGCTTTCGAGCCTCGGTTGCCGAGATACTCAAGTACACGCTGTGGGAAGTCAGCTGTTCTGGCTCCGTGGGCGAGCAGCTTAGGAACTCGGAAACCAAGAACTCGTGTCTCCAGGAAACAGCCCAGTGAAATACTACTCTTCCACAAATCAGTGGAAGGCTTTTGTGTGGGCCCCCTGACGGATGCTTTCAGATTATTTGGTTCCAAGATCCAGAGCTGACCATAGCTTTTTGTTGTTTTTGGTCAGTTTGTTGGCATCACATTGTGTGTGGATATAAAATTTAGGAAAGATCTTCATTTTCCCCCCCTGCAACTTAAATTATGCGTCATCCTTTCTAATTATACCATAGTAGATTAATCACTGCTGTTGAGGCAATGTCAGTTATTGTTTTAAAATCTTAATAACTTTCTCTAAGTCCTAAATCTTAATAGTAAACATATGATTAACTCATTTCAAAAATGGTAAAATAAGTTTGCTTAAGGTCACTTTAATTTTGCGCAAGTAACCTATCAGACAAATTCTTAAAATGCAACATGTGTACTTCATTTCATGTAATCTTGGTATATACATTGATGAATTAAACTAATAGTTGGTTATAGTAGTTTAAGACATTGTTCCAGTTGCTTATTAATGCTTTGTAAACTGCCCAAAATCTAGTTGCTTAAAACAACAATTTAGTACTATTATATCTCACAATTTGGAGAGTCAGGAATTCAAACAAAGCACAGAACGGGGAGGTTCCTCTCTGCGCTTTACCATGTCTGGACCCTCAGCTGGACTGGGATGACTCAAATGGCTGAGGTTCCCTTCCTCTCCTCCGCTCTCCTTCCCCCCACTCTCCTCCCCTCTTTTCTTCTCCTCTTTCTTCACACAGCTGTTCCCGCGTGGCACCTCAAGGCAGCCAGACTTCTTATATGGCAGTTTAGGGCTCCAAGGGGCCAAGGTGGACGTTTCTGGTCTTCGTGAAAGCTATGCCCAACACAGACACGGCATCGCTTCCGTTGTACTTGATTCGGTCAAAGCAGTCATAAACCTTTTATTTCTGTAATGATCTTCATAGGGACAGCAGTATAAGACCAATAAGCATAACTTTAAGTCAGATGCAGATCTGTTGCATTTTAGACTAATAATATTTTGACCTGTATTCATTTATGCTTTAGCAAATACAGGTGAGTATTAAGACGTATGCAGAACCGTGGTAGATAGACATTGCGACGGACGCCAAGAATCGTAAGGTGCTTACAGTTTAGGAAGTGAGAGTAAAGTTGCATAAAACAATCATAAAGCAAGGCGGGTAGTAATAAGTAAGTTAAGAGAGCCAGGAACAGTGTAGATTGTTCAGAGAGGAAAGAGAGGGCATCTAGTGTGGAGGTAAAGAAACGCTGGAATTCATGTCCTTGCCTTTGGGGGTTCCCTAAAGGTTCTGCCCCTGTCTTTTGTCTCTGCTGGCACCCTCATCTTTTATGAATATAAACTCTGCCACTCACTGCAATTTTAAAAATATATTTAATGTTCTATAATTTCTCAATTTTATTTTGAAAGTTGTTAGAGGAGTTATGTTATTTCTTGATTCACTACCCTTTTTTTATTTCATCTCTTAGTTTTGGAAATGCTCTTATCAGATCATTTATTGGGTATGTTCTTTACCATTAGCTCCATGCAACAATCAGATCTGTTTGGGAAATTATTCCAAAAAAATGTGTGGCATAGCTCAGCCTGTCCCAAACTTCGGTTGTTCCCAGACTTCATGGTTTCTGCCCTGTCCAGTGGAGGTGAAGGGAAGGCAGGGAGAGGAAGGCTCTTTGTGAGTTTCTGGCGCTTTGTGCAGCCTTTATGCTTGAGTCCTCCACTACCAGCGTTGGGGTTTTCCACTCGGGGTTCCCCTTGACCCTTGAGGGACAGGTCCTGGGTTCCCAGGATCAGGAGAAAAGCTGGAGGAGCTAAGAAAAAATGAACTTCATAGTCTCATTCTTTCTGAGCAAATGGAGACTCTCAAGGCTGTGGGAGAAAGAGAAAGAGCAGGAAGGGGATTAAGCAGCCCAGGGCAGAAGGAAATTAATGGAGCAGGTGGTATTCTGGAAGTTACATTTCAGGGCGGTGATTTCTAACCTTAGTGAGGCAGGAGCCCATGCAGAGCCATGTATCAAATTAGGTTCAATGGGCACAGTGTCTAAGGTCTGTGTGCTTTCTAAGGGCCTATGAAAATGTTTGAGATCTTAAAAAATATTATTGGCTCTAGAAACAAAAAAGAAGACTTGAAAAGTAAAAATGAGTACTTAATTACATGTCTATAAAATATACCTTTATGTCACTTGGTCAAATGAAGTATTTAGCAGTTATATAAAAACTTACATTTGACATTTCAATATGTTTCAATATTTGATATGAGGAGTGGAGCTTCCAAGAAGAAAAATGCTTTAAGGAAGGTCTACAAAGGTCTTAGAGGAACTTTGAATTCATTTAAGAATCTAATGAAAGTTATGGGTCCTTTCTACAGAAAAAATGCTTTTAAATAAAGTATCAGGGAAGCCTTAGACCCCAGGCTAAGAACTCCAGTTTTAGTAACTTTTAAAATAGCTGCTAGTGGAGATATTGACAATTCACTAGGAGAAAGCAACCAGTACAGGCACTTTCCAGCAGAAACAGCAGTTCGTTTTTTATTCTCAGTTTGAGGGAAGATCCAAGGAGTAAGGCAGGAACCGTACTTAGCCCCAGGATTGGGAAGTCTAAGACTCCTCCCCTGGCAGTTGTATTCTGGTTATTGAGGCTCTCCAGGGGTCTAATGACCAAGAGCAGGATGAATGGCTAAAAAGACAGAGGCTGGAGGCTGGACAGGCACTACAGCAATTTGGGGAGGAAGCAAGGGAGCTCAGTGCCTAGTTGTCAGGAGAGTAAAGAATCCTAGGAAGCTCAGGGACTAGGGCCTAGAGCCAGAGACAGAGCTGCCTCCTCTTCAATGGAGGGAAGCTCTTAGGAACAGAGGGCAAGTCCCAAGGCCTCCGGAGGCAGAACATCTAGACTTAAATTATGACTCCAACATACCCTAGCTCTGGGACCTTGACTAACTTAATTCAGGTTTCTAGCCCTCAGTTTTCCCTGTCTGCAAAATGGGGATAACAGTAAGATCTGCAACATAAGGCTGCGGTGAAAATTAAATGAGTTGATGTGACTGTTTACAGGGCTTTACCTAAAGTACTTAAAGCAGTTCTTAGCTCTATAAATACCTGATAAAAATTAGCTGGTATTATACGTACTCAGTGAAACTCCTGGCATGTTGTGACATTGGAACTGCTTAGTAAATGTTAGATCCTTTCCTCCTCTTGAAAGAACATAAAAACCTCATAGGAAGAATGAGGTAACTACACAGCCAACTTTGAAACAGGACAGTTTATAAGTACTACAAAAGAATATATGTGCTGGGAGGCTGCAAGGGGCAGGAAGGAACAGAATTTAAAAAGATTTCTTACAAGAGATATTTGAAGTGCATTTTGAAAAATGACTACCATTTGACAAAGTACGGGTGAGGAAAGAGGCTATTTTAGGTGGATGGCACAGTGAGAGCAAATGTAGGGATTGGAAAACACGGGCTGTGCTCAGAAAAGACAATAGTCCCATTATAGGGACAAAGTGAAGATAAAAGATTCAGAATTTGCATCAGGCTTGAACAGTGATCCATAGTCCTCACTGCTTACATACGGGCAGTGGGCCTTTTTGGGATGAATATTTAGAAGTCTATGGACACTTTCCTTTAATTTTTACTTCCCTGAAAACGATTCAGGCTAATGAAATTCCAAATGATAGACTCTCATTTGGGACGTTTCCTGAATGCAACTATTATCATACAGGGCATTTAATGAGAGAATGTCTCTATCAGTCTCAATTTCCAATTTAAGTTTACCCTACATCTTCTCACTCTCCCTGAGGGTAGGAAGCAAGGGTTACACTGATGAAATAGGATTAAATTGTATAAAATCAGGGGTGAAGAATTTTTCCCATTCAACATATTACTAACACATTATTGGACTCCGAATACCTGGGTTTGAGTTCCTCCTCTCACTAGATGATTAGGCAAGTCCTCTTTCAGAGCTCAGTCTAATCTGTAAATGGTGATAACAGTGTCTGCCTTGTTTATCTCCTAGGCTGATTATAAAGTTCAAATTAGACAGTGTATCTGAAGCATGTTTTTTTTTACATTTTTATCTAAGGACAATAACTGCCATTGCCAAATTGTATTTGTTTGGGGAAAAAATTATACGTTATGTCCAAAAACACTAATGCAACTCTTTTTTGTGTCTTTGCAAATAAGCTTATCTTTTGATAAAAATAGTCAATGAAAAAATCAAGTATTTTCAGTGTTTGTAGAGATTGGAAAACACGGGCTGTGTTCATTTTTTTAAGTAATTCTATTATGCTTATAAAATATTTCATTGAGCCTATATGCCATGATTTAGTCATTTCCATTTATGTTAGGACACTAACAGTCCTTTCGTTTACCTGCTTCCATCCACACCATCTCCAGACCCGAGCTCTGCCTTTACTTTGTCATTCTCTGGCTTAGAAACCCATGAATGAGCCGGCTTGTAATAGAACTGCCTCTGCAACCTGGCCCCACCCTATATAATCCCACACACTGCAGAACGCAGCCTAACTGGTTGAATTACCTCCCGAATGTCTATGCTCATTCCTGGGTTTATCATTCTGTTTTTCACACCCTCCTGGACATTCTCTCTCTGGAACATTCTTTTTTAACAAACTGATCAAAGTCTGTTCAGTTTAACCCCTAATTTCTCTAAAGACTTAATTCTAGCTTTCCCTGACTTTCTGAACTTTTGGATTACTTGCTTAATCACAAAATGACTTTTATACTTTTAAACAATTTTATGTGTGTTTGAACCACCTCCCTGTAGTAATTTTCTTCAATTCTTTGTATTTTTATAGCAGCTAACAGTGATAACTGAGTGAATCATTTTGAATTCCCTCCTACACTGTACCACACAGCCCTGTGCTGAGGATGCTGAATATGAAAAATAAACAAGATTTCAGTTATTGTAATCACCTATGGGGCATGCAAAAAGAGGTGGCCTCTAATTTTTCCTGTCTTCCGCTCCGAAGACATAGACAGGAAAAAAATCTCTACATATACTTAGGCCGTCTGAAATGATGGGTTCAAAAACAGTTCATTCAATATTCTGGCTCACATGCAAATGAGAGCATTGCTCATAAATAGCAAAAAATTGAAAGCAATCTAAAAATCCAATAAATAGCCAGGTTACATAAGATGTGAAACAATGGATTATGTAACTTAAAAAAATGGAGAAGCTTTTTATGTACTGCTATGTAATATTCTAGATACAGATGAGATCTCCAAGATACATATTTCCATGAACAAAATGCAAAGTACACAACAGTTTATGTTGTATGCTGCAGTTAGTCCAAATGAGTATGCTTAGTCTAGCTCTGGAAATAAATACCTAAGAACCTGGTGATATTGTTGCTTTTATGGAAGTGAACAGTAGGCCTAGAAGACAGGAGATTTCACTGTTTGACCTCTTGAATTTTGAACTATGTTAATGTGTTATCTATTTTTTAAAATATGAAATTAAGAGATACTGTTAAGTGTTTTTTATTCAAAGCTGTGGAGTCAAGATTTTGGTCACATTTCATCAGTTATCAAGATTGACAAAACAGCTGTGGCTTTAACCATTCTAAATTTTCAAATTCCTTTTAACCAAATTTTTAATTTAAAAAAGTCATTAACATTTGTTAAAACGTAACGTTCTGGTCAAGCTATTTAATACCAGTCCCTTTAATAATATATCAATGACTAGATTATTTTTGGCTGCTGTTCACTAGTTAGATCTCTCCATGGCAGCATTTCCACAATCTACAGGATGTCTCTCCAGAAAATCAAGTGCTGCCCTCTGCTGGCTCATGACACTGACAACCTGAAAATTTCTCCAGTGATTTTTATCATCATATGTATATTTTATACTAACATATTCATAGCAACTTTATTTTAAAATCCCCCAATTTTAAGTAATCTGAACGTCCATTAACAGGCAACTTACATACATGTGACATGGTCACACAGGAACTACTACTCAGAAAAAAAGTGGAATAAACTATTAACATATACAGGACTATGAATTAGGCTCAAAACATTATTGGATAAAAGAAGCTGAACACAAGAGTACATGCTGGTCGATTCCACTCACGTGAGTTTCCAGATCAAGCAGAAGAGTGTTGTTTTGGGTGAAGGGGGTGTGAATACTGACCAGACAAAGGCTGGTTGGTGGGAAAACTTAGGGAGTCTCAGGGTGTGTGGGAGGTTTGAGGACAGTCTTCCAGAGTGTGAAGTGATTTGATTCCTGCCAGCATTGAGGCCCAGTTGAAGTTTAAGTTCATTAATCGAGAGTGATCTGGGGGGGATACCTGGCTACGCTCCCCAAGTTCAGCTGCCCAAGTGCATGTATGCAGGAGACAGAAAAGTGGGTTTAACCAGGGTGTGGTTTTGCCAAGTTAAGATGAAGGGAGATGGGTAAGGAAGTCGAAGTTTCTCGTACCAGCTCAGTTCCTAATCCCTTCACCAAAGGTGCAAAATAGACCCCAAATGATCCTCCATTCCACTTTTTCGACAGTTCTGTCCAGCTCCAGGGGCTCACCCAGGGGTCTCCCAGCAGCCTGGGGCTCTTTCAGCAATTGTAGCCTTGGGAATCTTCCGTGCACACCACTTCTTTAAAGATGGCTTATCACTGCATTAAAGGCAACTCCTACCACACGTGCAGAATTTCAGAGCACCATAATATAAAACTAAACTAAACCCTAGTGCCAGTCTCCAGCCCAAATACCAAAGTCATGTGTATAATCAGATTCCCCAGAACATGGTACAAACAGTTCACCCTTGAGCACTGGAGGTGGGCAGGCAAGAGGACTGCAGCAGAAAAATGGAAGGGTGAAAAGGAGACAGGTATAAAAGAGAATATAATCTACAGATTCAGGTGTTTGTTATCTTTATTGTTGAAAGTATTCAGATGTCCCCCCCCCCACCACCACCATTGACCACCTCCATCCTGTGCCCCCTCACCAGGCCTTCACCACACTGTTGTCCATGGGTTATGCATATATGCATATAAATTCTTTGGTTAATCTCTTCCCATTCCCTGCACCCTCCCCCCTTTTCCAGTGATTTTAGACTGGGTTTGCTGGACTGAATTGCTTAGTGAAGATGATTTCAATCATCACTATGTACACATACAATTAAATAAATTTTCTTTAGAATTTAAACAACTTTACACACTCAAGTTAGTCACATATAAAGAAAATCAGATTAAGAAGGGAGGGGGAAACAGCATTGTCTGGTTCTGCTAGGAAACTTTTGACCTCAAATCATTTAATCTCTTTGATCTACAAAGACCTTTAGAGATCAGAAATGTCTAAGCTCTACTTTTATGAAAACTACTGTAAAAAAAAATCCAATGTTACATACATCCTGAAATTAACTAAGATGAAACTGTTACCAGGATTGGACTTAACATATTGCCTTCATCCCAGTACATTTACCTGCAGCACTACCTCCGTATGAAGTCCTACCCCAATAGGTTCAATCAGATTTCCAAAAACAAGTAAAATGTCCCACTTAGTCCCTACCGACCTCCATACCCAAAGCCAAGCTTCTGAACAAACAACAGCCTGGGAATCATTACCTATATAACCTCCCTCCCAGGACCCAATGCTACTCAAAACACATTCCCAACACTAAGTTCTCCTTTAACAGTGTACAATGAGGCATTATTGTATCTGGCTAGACTCTAGACAAATGGTTATTACTCATGACAAATTCTGGGAACCCTTCCTTTACCTAACTTTAATAACATCGCACATCTCAACATTTGAAATGGTGGTTTTTCAGTCACAAGTAATCCCCAACTTAAAGATGCTAAGTTATAACAAATCACTTCATCAGCCACTTAAGTCATAGGTGTACATCTCAGTACTAAATTCCTTTTAGCTCCAAATGTTTAACTATTTGGCAAATACTGTAACTTACCTTACTCAATTATATGCCTGGTTATTGTCCTAAGCACTTTACACGCATCTGTTCCAACTCTTTAAGGTACTCCCAACATTCCCATTGAAGAAAAGCTCAGGTAACTTTAACTCCTTGCAAAGCCCAAGGTCTGAACCATTATAAACCTACAGGGCTAATTTCTTAATCCCAAATTTCCACAAGTGTTTTCTTCTAAAAATATGGCAAATATGAAAACTTAAACTATTGTGACAAAAGTGACATCATGCACTGCTGGGGCCATCACTAATGTGTACAGAAATTATATTGAGTCCATTTAAATCAGTTTATAAAATCTATTCAACACCTACCTATATAGATTTTGTAATAGGTAGTTTCCCTCTTTTTGGCTAACAAGAATGCTGACCCCAATTTATATAATGAATATATAATCAATGAATTTCTCAAAATGGAATATACAGTTGACCCTTAAATGTGGGCTTGAACTGTGTGGATTCACTTATACAGGTTCTAAAAAATACATAGTATTCCATATCCCCGAGTTTTGCATCTGTGGAAGCATGCATTGTTTTACGCCATTTTATATGAGGAAACTGATTATCCAAGGGGAGTCGTGGAACCAATCCCGTGGAAACCTAGGGACAAAGTTAAATGCTAACTTCTGACTGCATGGGGGTTTGACACCCCAGCATCCCATGTTGTTCAAGGGACAACTGTACCACTCTCCTATTAAAAGAGTCAAGATCCAAGGGTTATCTTTCAAACTTTTATTTAAGGGCAATGACCAAGGATGGATTTTAGATCTTGTTGAAAGCAGCCACGTCCATGGACTGCACATAGTCCTCAAAAGCAGTGATCTGCTCCTCCAGCATGTCTGTTCCAACTTTATCATCTTCCACTACACACTGTATTTGAAGTTTTTTAATTCCATACCCCACTGGAACCAGTTTAGCTAAAAAGAACATTAAGAAAAATCTTAGATAAGTCCTGTTCATTGACAAAAGCTGAAACTGCAAATTCCCAATGCCAATTTTAAAAAGAAAGGCTAAACTCACAAGAGCCCCAGACCAAGCCATCTGCTTGAATGCTCCTGACACACTCCTCTAATTTTGCCATATCCGTCTCATCATCCCAAGGTTTCACATCTAATAAGATGGAAGACTTGGCAACAAGCGCAGGTTCTAAAAAAAGTATAAGAAACAGCATTATTCAAATAATCATATATATATATTTTTTACCCTAGTCTAAGACATGTAACATCTTAATTTGTTTCAAAATGGATCATCTCCTTAGCCACACAAAACTACAGAATACATCTTGTGTTTGTCACACATATGCCCACTTTCTCTTGCTAAGAAAGAGGTGTTTAATCGTGTAACAATTTCTTTCCCACAGAGGAATGCCACAACTGCCACCATAAGAACAGCTGCAGACCAGTAGCTGTGGAAGTTTTAAGAACCACATCTACAGAAAGTTTTGAAATACTGACCTAGTCAGTAAATGTGGAGGAAATTACTTTGGGGATTAATCTTCAAAAAAGTTTATTTACACTATTATGAAATGAAGATAAACACAATTATAAAATAACCTACTTTTGGCTTTCTTTGACTCATACTGTGCAAGACGTTCTTCTCTTAGCCTCTTTGCTTCTTCACTTTCCTGTAAAGAAAAAATTTAACACATTTCACAAAGCTGGATGTTCCTCAGCTTAAAGACAGTGGGGTCATCACAACAAAGACCAGCTTTATCAGAAAAAAGCAAATCCATCAGGAGCTCAGCCGAAAGATGGTGATTTGATTTTATTCATCATGTAACCAGTGAGAAATTTTAAAAGGCAGGTGATAAAATGAAGCCAGGATTCAAACCCAGGCAATTAGGCTACAGAGCCCGTGCTTAAGCACAACAATACACATATATCAACTTATGCCATACCTCCTCATCATCAGATCCAAAGAGATCAATGTCATCATCATCTTTACTATCTGTAGCTCCACTTCCTGTGGTGTCTTCCACATTAGCAGGGCCATATTTGCCCAAAGCTTTCTTCACTCCAGGAAGGCTTGAAGAAAAGTTAAATTATTAGGCTGACACAACATCCTTTTTCAGAAAATACATGAGAACTTGTTTTCATCACTATTTACCAATAGAACCCATTTAACATCCCCAGGTAAGTACTTTTATATGTTTTAACTCCTCACCCCACAAACATTTGTAGCATGTGAGACATTATATCCAATATTATGATTTACTCTTTCAGAATGATTATTTGAGATTTCATTAAGCATGCTCAATTCCATTCTTAGTGAACTACAGTCCACTTCCCCAGACTTCCACCCTTGTTGGCAGTTTCAGAACAATGGCCAAGGACTGAATGAAGGACCCACCCTCTCAGCCCAGAGGTGGGCCCCCCAGGTCAAGGTCCAGGCACACTGGCAGGGCAGTGTGGGGAACAGCTGAATTGCTGTTGTCCATGTTCTAGATGCTCTGCGGAAAAATGGAGGACTTCAGTCTCGTCTTTCTAGTGTCACAAGGAAATTTAGCTCACAATGTCCCAACAAAACTAAAGTAGCCTGGGTCCAATTCTGCCAAGAGAAAATCCTGACTTGAAGCTTAGAAAGCATTTACCTGGCCTTCTGCTTTTCGAAAGACTTGATGTGATTATACCAACGTAGGGCATGATACAGGTCGGCAGGTGGAGGGCCGGCCACTGCCTCAAATACTGCCACGTCTGCTTGTGACGGCACATACCTGCCGAGGACACGAAACGAATTACACACGCCTTTAAACGAAAAGCCACAAACACCATCAAATAAATGACAAACGCCACGTCCGTCAAGTTAATTAGCGGGATCTCGCCCATTTGTCACCGGGCTACCTAAGCTGCTTCCTTCACAGACCTCAAAGATGGCAGACCTACAGGCTTACATTTACTGAGCAAAGACTTGGGAAAACCTGGTTGAAAGTAACAATAAAGCACCTTTTTGACCCTTCTTCCCTCTGAGCCCCCTCCCCGAAGAGGGCCGGCGCCCCGATGCCTTCCCCCAGCGGCGGCGGAGGCCGCGCCACGTGGTCTCGGGCGCCCCGGCCCCTCCGCTTACCCCTCGATGTAGCTCTTGTCCGCCAGGTAGTTGTTGAGCACCTGGAGACCGGAGGGACTTTTCAGGTCTCCAAAACCCATGGCGCCTGCTGATCCCGGGGCTGGACGGCGGCAGAGGAAGGAGGAGTGCAGGCTAGCGGCAGCGAGCGCTAAGAAGGAAAAAGGGCCGCAAAAGGCCGGAAAATTCCTTATATAGAGACGGAGGCGTGTCCCCTCCGCGAAGGTTAAAGGTCAAAGTACGGTAACCTTCTCATGCCTACGTAAAAACTGGGCTCTGAGTTAAATGGCCCACAAATTATCCGGGGGCCTTTCTTTGTGTTTGGAAATAAATTAATAAAAGCGGCATTTCTTAAATGAGTACCTCGGCACCCCCCGCCCCCCGAAGATTACCGGAACCGCCCCTTGAAGGACCGGATATGACCGAAAAGGCTCGGCCTCAGCCTCCCGGGTACTTCCGGCGGAACTGCAGGTCCAGGCCTCCAATCCCCGCCTCCTCCGGGCTGCTACGCCCTCTGCCCCGCCCTCTGTCAAACTGACGGAAATTGCCGAACTCAATCCGAGCGGGAGGTTGTCGAATCTGAGGTTACTAGTCCCTCCTGGCTTCCCGTTCTCCAGGCCCGGCTGGCGGAGTTAGCCGAGGCCGCCATATTGAATAAGCTACCGGGCATCTAAGGGGGTCGGTGTGGTGCGTGCAGTTCTGCCGAGTACCCTCGGCGGCCCCAGAGAGAAGGTGAGGTCGTGTTTGGGTGAAAAGGTTGCGGCGCCATGGCCACAGGAGTTTATTTCTTGACAGCACTTTCCTTTGGCCCAGAGGGCTCATTCTCCTCTTGTCCTTGACTGGGCGCCGCGTCCCGCCCCGCCTCCCCAGGAACCCCCGAGAGCCGGCAGGTGAGGTCTGTTGGCCTTGGTCTCTGATCTCCTGGAGCGGAGAGGCCGTGGACGCCCAGGAGGGCACTGGTCCGAATGCAGGCTTGCGGGTGACCTTCCCTCTGCAGGGAAAATGCAGGACGTTCCCCTCTCTGAAGGGGAGGTCGTTTTGTTTCCTGAGGACCTGTGTCAAGTGACTTAGGCCTAAAAACCAAGCATTTCCTCCCAAATTAACCCATAGCTGGTACAGTGCATCTGGGTTTGGCCGCTATTGCCTTAGCAACCGTCCACGCTTCTGATTGCTTTTTAGTTTGTTTGCTTGTTTTCAGTTTTGTCCATTGTTTGCGTTGGGTAGCACTTTCTGTTCCTTTCATTGGTGGGGAACCTGAAGGAAGATAAAAAGTCAGCACAAGGTCTCCCTGCGAGTAACAAAGCCACACCGTTTAAAGGTTCTTGGGGTCTAGTGTATGTGCTGTAAGATTGTGGATCGGACACGACTCTGCTCAAAAACGAACTGTTTCTGATGAGTAAACATCAATGTGTTGCTGTTGTTTTGTGGAATGTTCTTTTTTTCACCAAATTGTGTGCGCATCATTAAGCAGGGTATTATAATGTTGCCAGAGAACCTGCACTGTTTAATTCCAGGAACGTGGACGTTATGTACAGAGATTGGAGATAGAATTCATTTAGCAAGTAGTTATTGAATGTCTACTATAAGCTAGAAAGAAGTCCATGACGAAGAATTAAACGGGTGATAACGACTGGGGAATAGTTAAGGAATTTTAGATAGGCCGGTCAAGGGAAGTCTCCCGGAGGAATGGCTTTTAAGCCAAAATTGGAATGATGAAGAGGGGCCAGGAAGGTCTGAGGGAGGAGCATTTCTGTCTGAGGGCACACCTCCTGGGAGGAAGCGGAGGCTGCGGAACAGGGTGGAAGCCAGAGACCTGTTAGGGAGCTGGAGATGGATGATGGTGGCTTGGAGTGGGGTAGTACCTTGGGAGGGGAGAAGCGGAGGATGGAGAATGTGTAGTAGTAGTGCCCCTATAACAAAAAGCGTTGTTCCTACATGGTGGTTAAATATCTGTGAAGTACATGTCAAAGTTTTGCGAACCTGTGTTATGTTGGGGCTTTTCCGTATTCCATCTGATGTTGGTTTTCAGCAGTCAGCCTGGTTCTGGTAGAGTTCCTAGCTAAAGTGGGCACTACTTTGAAACTGTATTGAAGACAAAATAATAGTATTAAATTTTTACATTGTTGTCTGAAATACTGATTTGTGATTTTGAATCTATCATTACTCTAATTCAGCAGATTCAGGCTTACCTCTATATCCGTTACTCTAATTCAGCAGATTCAGGTTTACCTCTATATCCGTAGATTTTAATAGGACAGATGCTACTCATTCTGGAAACTGGTGATAAGCCTATTTGGTGGTTATTTTCCCAAGGGCATGGTGCTAAGTCTTCAGAAAAAGGAAATGACCAAAGTGAATTATTCCTTGTCAAGGAGCTTACAGCTTAGTAGGTACTAAAATTGATTACTAACCTACAGATTACTAGATGGATACGTACACAGTGTGTTCTGATAGTAGAAGGAGCACAAAAGAACAGCACTTTAAAATGGATCTTAAGTGGCCAATACTGCCTAAATTGATTTCAGCTTTAACTGATATTTATTCAGCTCCAACTAATAACATGGCCTAGGAAGTATTGTTTTCTTCTGCTCTGTTGATAAGCAGAAACTCTCATATACCCAAAATCACTCACTAGTAGGCGACACACCTGATGTCTGCAAATTCAATATCACAGATTCAGAATTGATGAATTTTATGAATTAGTGAAATTGGTTTAATGAAATTCCCTATTATAACATCATCTATAATAGGTATGTGAAACTTGATGCTTAAAAGTTAGGTATACATATTATTTTCCACTCTCTTTACCTTTGAAATTCTTTATGTTGACACATTCTGATCACATAATTTGCATTTTTAAAATTTCCAAGTGAAAAATTATAATTTAGATGCTTAGCCTGTCTGATCAAGTGAATGGACAAAACCTCTAAAAGATCAGCTAACTATTCTTTCTGTTTGCTTATATATGTCTTTAACTGGTGTTATTTGTGTGACCCACTTCCATATATTTTATTAATTCAGCAAACCTTTTAGAGCAGGGTTTTTCAACTTCCAGCACTGTTGACACTTGGGGTAACTTTCATGGGGGCTGTCTTGTGCATTGTAGGATGTTTAGCAGCACCCTGGCCTTTGCTCCCTAGATGCCTATAGCTTTTTCCCAGTTGTGACAACAAACAATGTGTTCAGACATTGCAAAATGTTCCCTGGGAAGCAAAATTGTTTCTGGTTTGGAACCACTGCTTTAGAGCTTACTGTGTGTCAGCCTTAGGGCTAGGCACTGAAGATAGATTCAAGAAGTTCATAATACAGTGGGAGTAAAACAGATAGCTGCAAATCTGTAAGATAAATGTACTACTCAGGACACAGAATGGCACTCCAGACACTGCAAAGGGTTGGGCTTGTCAGCTAACTCAGAATATTTTAGGATCATGTAATATATAATTGCTCAGAACATGGGTTGTTGGAAGGCATATTGGAAGGAAATGGAGGCAGAAAGATAGCGTTATTTTACATAACTATTAATGATAAACTAATTGTTATTCTCAACATTTCTTTTACTATATAGTACTGTTTTAAGTATGATAATTTGTTGATAGTTAAAAACAACAAAACTGCCCTTCGCATGGAGTTAGAAAGCCCAAATTTGTATACCAGCTGCTGTTTCTTAGCTCCTTAATGTTGTATAAGCCAGTAATCTCTTTGAGACTGAATATTCTCATCTATAGAATTTGAGGGAAAATATCAGGATTTGTCAATGTTTAGTGAAATAATGTATGTGGAATGCTTTACAATCATAAAATATTATCAAAAAGTTAGTAATTAGGGTTTTTCCTACAATAATATAACTCTTCTTTGTTTTATTCTTAGCAATATGTTAAGGATACCCGTAAGAAGGGCTTTAGTAGGCCTTTCTAAGTCTCCTAAAAAATATGGTGAGTATTTTTTTTTTTTAAATTTACATTTGTTTGTACTGGACTTTCTATTTTGATAAATTCTAGATCTATGGAATGTTTATTGAAGGACCCTAAACTCTTAATTTGTTCTAAATAAAAATAGAAACAAATGACCTGAGTGAAATAAAATAATTTGCAAAATATAACTTTACCTTAAACAGTTCATAGAAATTATCATGGAATAGAAAGTAACTGGAACTGCCCATCAGTGCCAGAAATGGAAAAAAACATTCATTCTGCTTTTGAAAAGTTGTCTTCCCATGAACGTATTTTCAATGGTAGTAAAAGTTTTAACTTAAATTGCTATTAAAAGCAGACAACTATATTCTGCAAAGCTTTTTTCTAATTCAGTATTTTAGAAGTTAGAATCTAGAGAAATTTTAGGTTTGTAGGTGAGAATTAACCCATTATCCTCTGCTATGATGAATTCAACTGTGTGCATTTATTTTCCACTTCAATGTTTTTGATGGTCAGTTCGAACAACTGCCACAGCAGCAAGCAACTTGATTGAAGTATTTGTGGATGGTCAATCTGTCATGGTGGAACCGGGAACTACCGTCCTCCAAGTAGGCACATGTTCTAATTCTCTATTTTTCTGTGTGTGCTGTTTTTTTAAAAAAATACCAATTTATTTCCTTATACTGTTTATCTCTAAAATTTACAAATTGCTTGATAAATGCTCATAAAAGAACTATAGGTAGTAAAATTACATGAAAATAAGTTTGATTTGAAATCTTGGCATTTCAAAGTGAACTCATTTATTTGTTTCTGACTTTTAAAAAAATCTCATTTTATTGATTAGAGAGAGAAAGAGAGAGAGAGAAACATTGATTTATTGTTCCACTTATTTATGCAATCATTGGTTGCTTCCTGTATGTGCCCTGACCGGGGATCAAACCTGCAACCTTGGCGTATTGGGTTGACACTAATCAACTGAGCTACCTGGCCAGGGCTGTTCCTGACTTTCTTTTTTTTTTTTTTTTTTTTT